AAGAAATCGATTTCAAATTAAATAGAACATTTGTAAAATAGAAATCAAAGCAGTCGTTATGGTCACATTGTATAGTTATATATAGGTTTACGAATTACCAAAAAATTTCAACACATGATAAACCACAGCTCTCTACCTAAAGTGACGGACTCACTTGGACATGTTGAAATATCGAGTTCAAGTCAAAGAATTTGTGTCAAATAGACGATAACCACTACGTCTTAAATAATAATAAGCGTCGCTATAGCCAGGATATCAGAAGGAATCCGTTAGAAAAATTTTTTTAAGTATATTTACGAAAATTTAATTTATGTACACAAAAACAAAAATAGTTTTAAATAAGTGATGTACATTCTGTAAATACTAGGAACAAGCACCAGTTTTTCGACTCCCAAAGAGTTGAGAGAGATTCCTTCATGGGGCAATGTTATCTGTCAAAAGTTTTAAGTTTCTTACTAAGCGAAAATTGTTTAGTTAGGGTTATTATACTACTAAAGAGTACATGATTGATAATAACTCCCGGGGATCAGGTGATCGCTACCATGCTGTTCCTAAATGCTTTCATACTAATTGTATAAAATAATATATTGTAAGTAAAAACCATCCAACATGCGTGAGTATCGTGGTTTTCCACGACACTCATGCATCTTGGATTGTTTTTTTCGTAGTGTATTATTATCGATAAACGTGTTATATTACTGACTAACAAATACAAATAAATGCATTATGCACTAGCCTCTATTAAAATGAATCACAGAATACCAGCGTAAAATAGCAGCTTAACGCTGTTCTGTTTCGTATGGTGTGTGTAGAGAACTGGAGACCCATTTTATTGGAAACGAGGCATTCCACCTTAGTCCTCAGGGGTGACAACGCATCTGCATTTTGATTCTAAATTGAGGATAGATGTAGATGTCCATGGGCCACAGCATTCACTTACCATCAGGTGGACTGTAGACTCGTTCACCCCTATTCTATAATTTAAAAAAAATTGCATAAATGTTGGCTTAGGTATCTTGCATGTCTCTAGCTAAAATACTAGACTACGAAATCGTCAAAATTACTTAATACGCAAATGTATAAATTATGAACCTTTATAAATAACCTGGGCGGTATCTAATTAGACTCATTTATAACGGAGAATAACGCATATTAGATAAATATTTTGACCTGTAAACGTTTAGCAAATTAATCTCGACTCCAGTAATAAATTCGTTCTCATATATTTATAGGCCCGTGTGTGAGAATATTAACGGGCGTTCCGTTACGAGACGAATGTTGCCAACTGCTGGGTTTTATTAAAACGTTCAATGTCGTTAAACAAGAAATACGCTATTAAACTCCGTTGTTCTCAAGCTTAAATAGAGTTATAGCTGGCGTTGTTCACGAAAATATTTTTAGAGAATATTTTTATATGTTATATCTATCTATCTAAACTATGATACAACTCTAACACGACGTGTGTCTGAACACGCATCACGCAAAAAAACCTGTAAGCTGATTTGGATGGGACCTTCACTGACAGATAGCGGATGTTATAAGGAGTAACTTAAGTACTTTTATTTTAGGAAAATAATTAGGGTTCCGCGCAAAAAAATTAAAACCCATGAAATCCAATCGCAGTAAATTCCACGCGAGCGAAGTCGCGGGTACCAGTTAGTTATGTAATATGGGTTATTATACTTAAGAGCACATGATTGAATAACGCCTGAGAATCAGGTGATCTCTAGCATGCTGTTTCTAAATGCTTTCATGCTTAATTGTTTTTTCATACAAAATATTTAATTTTAATTTTAAAATAAATATTTAACAAGTTCCGCTGGGTTTCTTGCTGGTTCTTTCCAGAACAGACATTATTTCCAGTCCAGTGTTATAAAATCCATCAAAGTATCAAAGTTTTTTATTCAATATTGATTACAAGTAATTCTTTTTGAAAGTCATTTTTTGCTTTACCACTGGTTCGAAAAAAATCCTCTGTTCTGCTATTAAGACTTATTCAATAAAAACATATTCTTTTTTAGAAGGTATAAGTCCACTTCTGCACAAGGGCCTTCTCAATGCTGAAAGCCTTTGTCAAATTGCCTTAATCACCATACTTGGCTGGTGGATTGGAGATCGCAGTACTATACCTACGTCAGCACCTTTGACTGCTCCATCGCCGGTCTCGACTCCACCATCTATCGAAAGCCATGAGATCTTGCTGACATTCCCATAGTCGTTTCTAGCGACAATTACGAGACAAAATGAGGTGATGGATCGTATTACGCCGCCATACCTCGAAGAACCGACAACAGTTGTTTACGTAGTAGAGTCATGCTGCAGCTATATTAGTAGTATAGTGGTAGCACGAATGGGTCGGCTCGACCGGGGAAGGACAACGCTCTCACAGAATACCAGCGTAAAATAGCAGCTTAACGCTGCTGTGTTTCGTATGGTGAGTGTGGAGAACCGGAGACCCTTTTTAGTGGAAACGAGGCGTTCCATCTTAGTCCTCACGGGTGGCAACACATCTGCATTTTGATTTGTAATCGAGTGTACCATCTTCACTTACCATCAGGTGGATTGTGTGCTCGTTTGTCACCCTATTCTATAAAAAAAGCTGTGAGGTAGAAAGGTTCTCTAATGGCAGGTGGCTCAGGGCCGTGCGTTGTGGTATTCCTTGGAGGTAGGTCAATTTTCAGCAGTGGACTTGTGAAGGACTGAATGACGACGATTATGACGTAATATTAATTAACTAGGTACATTAGCGTAATTTCCTAAATAAAATCGCGATATAAAAATATTATTTACAAGAAGAAATAGTTTAACTGTATGATACTAATATTTATTTAACTCTATAATAGGTATAAAATTGGTCCAAGTATGTAACATGAAAAAACTACGGAATACCTAGGTAAAATAAATTTTAATAAACTAACACGGCTGTAACGTAGTGCATGCGTACGAGTACCAATATTTGACATTAGTTTCCGAGAAACTGTCAGCTAGCGTATTTCAGTTGACTTGGGGCCTCTCGAGGGTGAATAGAATAGTATTCTGCACTTGGGACGAATAACATGACGAATACAAAAAAGGAAAGCTAAGCATTTTCTCTTCTTCGGCTACATCACCGCTAACCGGCAGGTGAGATTGCAGCACTGACTTCTAATAGTCAAAAATATTTGAGAATTACTTTATCTTTCTGATTGAAGTTGTTAGAACTTAATTTTCTTATTTCCGCGTTCTCACAACTTCAATATATGTAATGGATTTCCGCAAAGTAACGCCTGATTCTATTAATTATCATTCAATCTGATTTAAAAATGAATAATTTTAAATTTTAAATTTTGTACAACCGACTTCAACATAAATTATTAAGAATAACTCAAAAACTATTGGTCGGACCTTTATAAAATTTATATGAAACTACACGAGAAGCACCAGTTTTCAAATAAAAAAAGAATCATCGAAATCGGTTCACCCAGAAAAAAAGATTATGAGGTAACATACATAAAAAAACATACAGTCGAATTGAGTACCTCCTCCTTTTTGAAGTCGGTAGAAAAATAAAATTTACTGCTAAAATTTTGAAATGGCCTTTTGAAGATTTATCTCTGAGATTGTTACATACACTGATTAATATATATAATATTAATCAGTGTACCTATGTAACAATCTCAGAAATACGAGCAGGACTGTACCCAGCAAAAGGGCATATCATAGAAATATTCTTCTTTTATTATATCTATGGGGCATATAAAATCTTAAACTTAACTAGTGCACTTGTAGCGGCGGCTTAAGAAATTCCAGTATCCACAACATCCCGTGGATATCATAAAAGGTGACAAAGGGAAAAGGGAAACTGAAGCATGAAGTATCTTCTTGAAATAATTGAAAATAAAAAAAACTGCGGTTGCGAAACCGCCTGCAAAGCGGGGCGACTATGGTAATATATATGGCGATATATGGGGGTTTTTTGCCATGAGGCAATCTACAGGAAGGCCTATGTACTGCCGTGAACTTTGATAATCTGTGATGATTAATACTCTTAAAATAACCATATTCAAATTTGTGAACGATACTGGGATAACTTTACTAAGCAGTAGCCGTTTTAATAATTTATAATTGTCATTATAAAACCCCCGTGGTCAAGTACCCGCCAAAAACTCTCATTGTCTATCTTATACTCGTACTCGTAGTCATTATCTCTTTTACTTACGTTAGGAACATATTCAAATACTAGCTGTGCCCGCGGCGTAGCTCGCGTATATAGGTTTTACTTAAAGAATTTGACATTTAGGGTAAGAGAATATTAAACTATTTATATCATTACTGTATCAATAAGTGGTAACAAAATAAATCGATATGCTCAAAGTTCTAAGTCGTTTATAATAGAGCTTCTGTGTAAACGACGTTAGAAGTATACTATATATATATATATATATATATATATATATATTTTAAACAGTGGTAGAGCCACGCAGCAGAACAACGCATCTGCATTTTAATTCGCAAACGAGGATAGATGTAGATGTCTATGGGCCGGAGCAACCACTTACCATCAGGTGGACTGTGTGCTCGTTTGTCACCCTTATCCTATAAAAAAAAAACTTAGCCGTAGCTGGGACGTACAGAAAAAGGTTACGGGGACTACTAACGCGGGAAAAGGCAATATATAGTTGGCCATGTGCAAAACAATCACTACTGAGGTCCACTCCTACAACGCGTAAAGTTTGAAGTTAACCTAAAACACCCGATCCTATAAAAAAAAAGAATTCTAAAAATGGTAGAAATGTATTTATTACTAATTTTTAGTACCTCTCAATCACTTTTATTGTATAAATCTAAAATGTACATCTGCTATTTACATTTTAATTATATGTATATATTTAGTAATAAACATCGTAAGAAATATAAAGAAAGGTAAAGAGCTAATGAAATAAAATTCCTTTGTAAATCACAAATCAGAATAATAAAATGAAAACATAAATATAATAAAAGTCATAAAAAATAAAACTAACCTTTTTCTTATGTGATTTCTTATTCATGACGCTTCGGATTCAAATCTGAAACAAATTGTGATTTTCAATATTATGAGACTTCAAAGTGGCTCGGAAGTTAATTGGAACCATCTGTCGGCTGATGTCCGCGCATCTGCGTTGGACGCTTTAATATACTGTCATATTTTACTACCGTATAGTGGAGGTTAAGAATATCCACTACCCCATATCTTCCCGTGGGTGTCGTAAGAGGCGACAATGGGAAACAGGTAGGAGATAGGCAGCAGCATCTTTCTGATAACAGCATAAGTACAAAAAAGCTGCGGTTGCCAACCCGCTTACCAAGCGTGGGAACTAAGGCAAACATCCCCCCCCCCCCCCCCCCCGCCATAATTAAACGGGTTTATTTTTTTCAAGTTATTTTGTGATTTGTAATGTCAATTTATATAAAAAAGATGCTCCAAACACGTCTGTATTAATAACACTTTTATTAATAAAAAAATAATTCCATGTATAGATTTGTTTTCTTCTTGAATAGTTGGCATAACATTATGTTAATACTTAACTCAGAGCTGTTAGTTCTAGCCCCGTTGATGGGGTAAGAATTAACAACTGACTTTATTGAGAAATAATGCTCCATTTAAAACATCATTTGTTTTATATTTGATTTATGTTAATAACATGATACTTGAATAGTTAAAGCATCATGTCACATTAAAATGAAATCTTAATATTTAATAATTTCGAAGGTACAACTAAAAATGCAATTTTTGTTAATTGTGGCCCCGGTCTCCCCAACATCGCTCATCTGCGATTTTACGACAATATAATCCTTATGGCAGAATTGCTGGAGGACCTAAGCAGTATGCTCAATGACCTCAATAGTGCCTGCCAACGTATATGATATGTTATAACATAATATACAATATTTTATTATATACAATATTCAGAACTATAATTAAAATAAAAACTAAAACTAGTAACTTAATTATCATACAGTCCTACTCGCCGCGGTATCGCGCCAAGAACGCTGGCTGCGTTTCCCCGCTGAATGGCTATATTTAGCCTTGGAGCGAGAAAAAAAACCAGCCCTCTTATCACCAGCAGCAACGACCAGTCGCGGATAGAGTTCCTTTAGGAACTTTACCGCACGTGGACTCCACGGACCGATAGTCTCTACAGCAAATGTCACAAATATGTAGTCTCTCAGAGGCTCTAAACGAGGTACCTTGAGATGAGAGGCCGCCAAAGTGTCTACTATATCTATACAAATAAATAAAATTGAAGTGTCTGTTTATAATGTCAAAATACCAGCTTTTTACTAAATGCATATGAAAGTATATACGGTACTTGTAACAAAAACACAATTTTTTTGTCTGTAGGTCTGTTTGTTCCGGCTAATCTCCGAAACGGCTGGACCGATTTCGACGGGACTTTCACTGACAGATAGCTGATGTTATATGGAGTAACTTAGGCTACTTATATTATAGAAAAATAATTAGGGTTCCGCGCAACATTTATGCTAGTATTTAAATAAAATAACAGCAATTACCATACCATACAGTTTCCGGCACACTCGTTTACCAATAAATGTTAAAAGCAATGACCCGAATGAAATAGAAATCAAATCTCTTGCCCGTTGTATATTTTCGTAACACAATTACTCAAGCTCCGGACGAATCCCGGAATCATTTTAATGGTGTTCCAAATTCTTAAGTCAAGACAGTTTTGTTATTAGTAAAGCGTCTCCCACACACAAGCGGCTTGCGGTGGCGGCTAACCGCGAGCCGCGGCTCCAGCCTCTGCAACAACACACACAACCGCAGCCGGAGTGGCGGCCTGAAGCGCCATTCGCTGTGGTGTCTGTGCTACGATCGGATGTCAGTAAGCATGACAAACCGTGACGAGGTCTTCTTATATTCAGCAATACCTACTATCATATATTTTGTTTCTAATCCTAATGCTTTTGTGATCACTATGCGAATTATCATAAAGTACTGGATAATTTTGCACTGGAGACGATTTAAGCGTCTCCAACACACAAGCGGCTTGCGGTGGCGGCTAACCGCGAGCCGCGGCTCCAGCCGCTGCAACAACACACAACCGCGGCCGGAGTGGCGGCCTGAAAAGCCATTCACTGTGGTGTCTGTGCTACGATCGGACGTCAGTAAACATGACAAACCGCGATGAAGTCTTATTATATTCAGCAATATTATCATATATTTTGTTTTTAATCCTAATGATTTTGTGATAACGATGCGAATTATCATAAAGTACTGGATAATTTTGCACTGTTTCTATTAAAATCTCTGAGTTTAGCACCATTTTTTACGCGGTACACGAGGCCTGCAGGCCACCACCGCAAGCCGCTTGTGTGTGGGAGACGCTTAAACCATATGACATAAATATCTTTAAGATGTTTTGTGACATATTACGTAGATGATGTCAGTTGCTGCATTGAATAATGTTATTAGTAATTTTATACGGCATGTGGGAGCCGTGTCAAGGCGTTAGAGAATCTAAAACCTCATGTCAACTCATGTTCTAAGTGGCGACAGAGGATAATGAAATAGAAGATAGGCATTAGCAAATAATAAAAAAAACATGCGTGAGTGTCGTGGAACACTCGGTTGGAACTTGGAACGAGGTTCCTTTCATCATCATCATCATCATCATTACAGCCTTTCACAAGTCCACTGCTGAACATAGGCCTCCCCCAAGGAATGCCACAAAGCACGGTCCTGAGCCACCTGCATCCATCGACTTCCTGCATGTCTTACCAGGTCGTCACTCCATCTTGTGGGGGGTCGCCCTACACTTCGCCTACCGGTACGAGGCTGCCACTCGAGAAACTTTCTTCCCCATCGGTTGTCGGTTCTTCGAGATATATGGCCGGCCCACTGCCATTTCAGCTTACTAATCCGTTGGGCTATGTCGGTTACTCTGGTTCTACTGCGGATATCCTCATTGCTAAGTTTATCACGCAGAGAAACCCTGAGCATAGCCCTCTCCATAGCTCGCTGAGCGACCTTGAGCTTCCTCATACGGCCAGCAGTGAAGGACTACGTCTCAGATCCGTAATTCATTATTAGCAACACGCACTGGTTGTACAATTCCGTTTTAAGGTTTTGAGGTATGTCTGACGAGAAGATGTGTTGTAGTTTTCCGAACGCTGCCCAGCCGAGTTGATTCCGTCGATTGACCTCTCGGTCGAAGTTGGACTTACCTAGTTCGAGCTTAGTGCTCCCAACAACTACCGGCAGAGGTGTGACATGGACATTAAACATGATCTTTATTTTGTCCATGTTCATCCTAAGACTTATTCGTTGGGAGATACTATTGAGGTCATTGAGCATGGTGCTTAGGTCCTCCAGCGATTCTGCCATAAGGACTATATCGTCGGCAAATCGAAGATGAGTGATGTACTCGCCATAGATGTTAATACCGTATACTTTAATACCTTTCCAGTCCAGAAGCTTGAAAACGTCTTCCAATACAGCGGTGAAGAGTTTCGGGGATATAACATCACCCTGTCTTGCACCTCTCTGCAATTGGATAGGTTTCGTACTCTGGTTACAGAACCATGGCTATCCGAGTACAGACTCGGGTAGCCATCGTAGCTCTACTGTACAAGCACTTCAGCACTTCGATATACCGACAGTCAACTTGGCACCGCTGAAGGGACTGCAGCACCGCCCAAATTTCGACGGAATCAAGGACTTTTTCATAGTCCACACACGCCAGGCATAGTGGCAAATTGTACTCCTCGGACTTCTGTACAACTTGCCAAAGGGTATGTATGTGGTCTATGGTGCTAAAGCCCTTTCGGAAACCGGCTTGTTCGGGAGGCTGGAAGTCGTCAAGTCTGCGTGCGAGACGATTCGTAACGACTCTCGAAAACAGCACGTAGACGCGGCTTAGAAAGGAAATCGGTCTGTAGTTCTTCAAGAGAGCGTTATCACCTTTCTTGAAGAACAAGACCACCGTACTTCTGCTCCACGCCTCCGGTGTAATGCCACCGTGGAGGACGGAATTAAAGAGCTTCTGAAGGACTTCAAGTACCGGTTTTCCACCCGCTTTCAGAGGCTCCGCTGTAATTTCATCCTCGCCTGGGGCCTTGCCGTTTTTAAGGTACTGGAGAGCCATTCTAATCTCGCTCAGACTGACGTCCGGGATATCTTCGGAATAGTGTCGGATAAGACTTAAGACTAAGCTCTTGGATCGTTACACTTGCGTGTGGCTCCAACGATGACGTGTACAGCTGCCCATAGAACCTCTCAATCTCACTCAAAATCTCAGGTGCCCCGGAAACGATACTTCCACACTCTGTCTTCAGCTTTGACAGTTGGGTCTTTCTGGCAGACAGATCTCTGGCAAAGACTTTGGAGCCTTAGTTCCGCTCGATTGCTTCTTCAATACAAGCTGTATTGAAGTTGCGTAAGTCCCGCCTCATGCATTTGGAAATCTGTCTGTTCAGTTTCCTGTATGCTGTCAAATCTGTTGAAGAATGTAGCTTCATCTCCCGTCTAACAGCCATAAGATTGAGAGTGTGATCGGAGAGTTTTTGTGTTCTTCTGTGGCGGGTCTTGCAGAACTTAGCTCCGACCGCATGGACAGTTTCCACGAGCTTGTCATTCACATCGTCCACTTCATTGCAGTCTTCTAGGCACTAAAAACGGTTTTTTAACTCGAGCTGAAAGGTTTCGGGACTTTGGAACAGAGCACGAGGGGGAAGAAGCGTTGACTTCATTAGACGAGACCTCTCCAACTTAACGTTTACGTTCAGTGTGCCTCTAACCATTCGGTGATCGCTACCAGTTTTCACCCTCGCGATCACGGAGACATCACTGAACAGTTGTCGTCTGGTCTTCATAATGAAGTCGGAACCGTCGGGACTCGACCAGGTCCACTTCCTGAGGGGACGCTTCTGGAAGAAAGAGTTCATCATAAAGAGTCCCTCTTTCTCCATGAAGTCGACCAGCTGCTGGCTCCTTGGGTTCCGTTGCCCTATTCCAAATTTCCCTACTTTCAGCTCACCGTTCTCTCTT